TTCCTCAATTCACATTTAGACTTCTTCCACTTTGTGGAGCTGTTAGTGATGAACATAGAGAAAGGTCCCACCAAGATATTTCTGTAATGGAAAAAAGATATGAGGGTCGTTGGAATGAAGCTATGTTTGCAGATTAATGTTGGTTTATATGTAGGGATGCTCCAGAGCTCGCATACAGGCGGAAAGCAAAAATGGCACGATCGCGCGAAAATATTCCATAATATTCTTTATATTTATTATTTTTTATTGTTTAAAACTGTTAGAATGTAATCTTTATTGAAAAAACTAAATGCACTTTAAATATTATTAAAATAAGTAAATTATATGTCATATTGCTATGTTGTGAATAAGCAAAACCAAAAATTTTTTTGTTGTTGTATATCTCAGAAACTAGAGCTAATAAAAAAATTTTTGTTTGCATTTTCGTTTTTCTTACCCCAAAATTAGTATAATTTGACTAAAAAAGTTAAGGATACAAAAAAAAATATTTTTTTTGTTGCCCAGTGAAATGGCTCACATTTATTATTATTTACAAGTATGACCTGTGTATGTTTTTGTGTATGTGTATGTTTGTGTGTATGTGTTGGTTGTATGTATGTTTGTATGAATGTGTGGATGACTGTTTGTTTGTGTGTGTGTGTTTGTTTGTGTGCATGTATATATGTGTGTGTGTGTTTTCGGGGTGTATGCTTTTATTGATGGTAACCAACCTAGCAAGTTAGAGATGTATTTGAATAGGTTTATTATCGAAACATACTTACATTACATGCATGCATATATACATAGATAAAAACATACACACACACAAATACAGACGTACACACACAAATACAAACACACATACAAATACAAGCATACACACGCACAAATACAAAGAAAGAGACAAACATACAAACAATTTTTTTTTAGAAAAAATTGATAACCTTTTGTTTTTAAACTTTATTTCTATTTTATAGCTACTTGCACTCACACGCCTTCGTCACTATCACCTATATGCAAGTTCTTCTTTTTTTCCTTTTTCTCTTTCTCTATACATATATAGAGAGAAAGAGAGAGAGAGAGATAGAAAGAAAGAGAGAGAGAGAGAGAGAATTCTTCGAAAACATATGTTGCCCTAGCAACAGTTATCATTTGATAGAGTGATTTAGGATTTTATTTTATCTCCCTCCCTCAATTTTATTCTCTCTCTCTCTTCGTCACCTTTTTCCTGTCTTTCATTTACTCTCTCTGTCTCTCTCTCTCTCTCTGATTCTTTCTTTTTCTCCCTATAACTCTCTTTATATCTTTGCACCTTTAACTTTTTATTCACCCATTTATATTTTGAAGTATTATTCTATTTCTTCCACCCCGCCTCCCTTCTCTCTCTCTCTCTCTTTCTCTGACGACGAATGAATAAATTCAGCGATGATGACGCCGATGACGTTAGTGATAACGTCATAATTATAATTATCGGTAATTATTAATAAATAATTAGCTAATCTTAGAGTCGTGATATGATTTAAAGTATGCGTTAGTCTAATTTGGTAGTTGTCGGTCTTGGGTTGTTGTTGTTGTTTGTTTGATTTTGGGTTTTTCTAAGTGTAGTCTGGGTTGGATGTTAGGTTCAGAATTAGGAAAATGAAATTAATTATTAATACGTGAATTTTTTGAACTTATTGAATTTGAGCAAAGAACAAAAAAAAACTACCAAATAAATAAACTTTAATAATATAAGCCACCATAAACAACATCACCATCAACAACAACAATAATAATAATAATAAGAGCAACCACTAAAATATTGAATATTTGTAAATATTATGGATGATGACGTAAATACCAGCTGAGAATATTATTTCATACACACACACGTACACACACACACACCACACAAAATTTTCATCCTAGCAAGCTCTGCTACTAACATGTAAACAAACTATTTAAAAGACAAACCATCGCATTATCGCCCGGCTGATAGTGAAAAATTATTCTTTGGTTTTTTCTTTTTTTTCAGTTTTTTTTGGTAAAAGTGTTGGCAATAAATAAATAATGAAAAAAATCATTAATAACGATAACAACTATAACAACGACAACATGCAAAAACAAACTTCTTTTTGCTCTTTTTTATCTGAAATGTAGAAGGTTTTTGTTTGTTATGTATTTTTTCTTCTTGTTCTTTCCCCTTGTTGTTTATTTTTTTGTGTTTTTTGTTATCATTCATTTTTTATTCTTTGGAAATTGTTGTAGTCAGTTTTGGTTTTCCATAACATTCCAACAAAAGGAACGAAAACGCGAATATGAAGTATCTATACAGTTTTTTTTGGTAATTCAGTTTATTTATTTTTAACAGCAATAAAAAAGAATACAGATTTTCCCTAGCTCAAAATTTCGGCAAATTTCGCGGACAATCTCATAAGGACGTACGGCGATATGGAGCTGAGCCAAACCAACATAAATGATCTATAAAATTATGATTATAATTATTTATTAATATTATTTATTATTATTAATAATATTTATTATTATTACTTGGGGTTATATTCTTCTAGAACCTTCTGAACAAAGGCTTGCGTTTGGCACGGATGAAACGCATAAAAGGGTCTTCTTAATATTAGATGCTCCTGTGAAATATTTATTAAACACTGTAAAATAATTATTGATAATAATGGAAAAAATTATGATAATAATAATAATTATTATTATAACAAGATGTTGTATCAGTGAAAGTTTCTAGCGTTAGCTTGTTATCAGCAAAACTTTTGACGCGGTTAGGATCAAACTTGATATAGCCGAGACTTCTCAGACAGTCTCATAAAAACATCTATCATTATTACTACTACTAATAATAATAGTACTATTTTTAATAATAATGTGAATTGAGAGGCAGAAAGAAAATGTAATTGTCAAGTCGAATGGTTCTGCTTCTGGTATGTGAGTGTGTCCTCGCTTGAATGCAGAAATCTTAGACTATATCGACCAGCATCCGTATTTACGGTTGCTGATCAATTTGGAAATTGATTGAGAAAGAATTAATAAAAAAAATAATGAGATGAAAAATAATATTACAATAATATCAATTATAATCGTTATTATTATTTGGTTTGGTAATATCTACTTGCTGTGTGATGAGTGACCAAAATGATGATGTAGATGTTTCCCTAGGAGTCTGTGTCCTCTTCTTTACGAGATCCCACAAATCTTCTAGAGAGAATAATTTCCCGTCTGAAATTTTACATTTCATTTAAATAAGGTTGGCGTACTTAGTAACTTTAACTGATTTTGAATGCAAACAGAGCCCAGTGTATCACATCAATTCCTATGAATGTCACAGATTTGTAGTTGAACTATAGTTTATAGATTTGTTTATAAAATAATGATAAGATTTTGAGTGGGCTATGACCCCGACCCCGGTTATAAACCTCTGGTTATAAAAAACGTCATACGGTTTAGAAATAAAATGAAAATTTTGGAAAAGAGAACGAACTTAAATGGTATATATTGAAAAACATCGTCGGCACTCCATAGCTTGTGTTGAACACAATGTGATGTTCTAGCCTGCATGCTGCGTCGTTCTTTGTTAGAAAAATGGCGGTTTGTTTACAATTTCGTAGCGGTTTTACGATTAAAATATTCAATTTTGTTACCTGTTCGGTCTCAGAGTGGAGCATTTCGTGTGAAATTTTCATCAAAAAGCAGCTTTCTTCATCCTAAAATCATTGTTCATTTTTATTTACCACCATTCAATCTCAATGATAAATAAAATAATACTCGGTTCAATAATATCGAGATTTATGGTCGAAATTATTTTAGAAATAAATTATTTCAATTAAAATAAAAAAAGTTTCCCGCCTTTTCGTTCACTAGTGACCAGCCATCTTCAATATTTCTACTCATCTCGTAAAACCACTTTATCGTTTCGAAGAATTCTCCACGGTTCATCTTGCTACCAAACTGCGTAAAACTAAAATGATCAAATGACTGCAAATGTAGTTTGTATGCGTGTGTGTACGCTTCTATGTGTGAATGTATGTATGTGTATGAGTGGACATGCGTGTCTATGGTTCAATTCTTATGCTCATTGTTACAATTTTTATTGTCAATACTATATACATAAATTGATAGTGAATAAACAAACCAATGTGCATTATAAAATATGTGCAAACACTGGTTCGTTTAATACACATGCAAACACTAACACGGACGTATGCGCGCACACACAAACACACACGTACATTCTTCATCTTTCTTACGTTAATATAAGCAGGCAGTTATGCTAATGTGATTGTCATTTCATCCAGGTTCTGTTCCAAATTGCTTATTTATAAAAGTATTTAAAACATTTTTTACTAAAAATTTTTGTCTTATTAAGCATTAAATTCATTACTTTGTGCGTATCGTAGGCGCGTGTGTTTCAGTATGTGTGACGTATTTTTTGCCAAAAATTTGTATTATAACTATTATTATTTTTATTATTAACTTTGAAAATATATTGTTATACACAGGCACCGACTTCGTTATATCGAAGAAAATTAATAATTTTTGATTAACTGTAAAGCTTTTTAATTGACATGTGAACATCATCAAACAAGAGTTATATTAATTATAATTTAATTATAAAAAATTGTAATATGCATATAATAATAAACTAATTTTGCCCTTCCGATGAATTTTTCGTATAGACATCCATAAAAATAACTAAAACATTGATTAAAATAAACAGATAAATCTAATGTATTTGAAACGTGCGAAGCGAAGTACAATGTACGTAAAACATCTAAAGTATGCTTAGTAAGTTTACTGTATGTACGTGTCTACAAATGTGCTTATTAAGTGCTAATTATTTAGTATACGTCGGAAATTTACCACAAAAAAATAACTGTTCGTTACGTGGTACAAACACGCGCAGGTTCTATTTTTTCTGGCCACAATGTCCCTTACTGCCCCCACAATGGCCCCCCGTGGCATGCCCCTTTTCGCCATGACACCCGTGTTCTTGACCGTGCCCACCACATCCATGTTCACCTCTTGGACAGGTACAACGTTCTGATTCCGGGACGTCTTTCATTACTTCTTCCACGTGTTTGCCACAACCTGCCCTTCCAAAAAGTCAATCAATCAATTATCGACCATTTAATTCATCATTTCTCAAAGTTATTCAATCCATGCGTCAGTCAATCGGCCAATCAAACAGGCGTCAATGTTCTGCTGCTGGCAAGAATGATTTCTTTGAAAAGTCTTCGTTATTAATATCGTCCATTTCAATAATTTGCGAATGAAGGGCCACGATCGAAGGCCATTCTTTTTCAAATGATCCTCAGATTTGACGGCCTGTCAACCACACACACACGCACAGCGTACGTGAGTCATCATCACACACGATAATCGAGGATGTCTTAACGATCGAACCTGCTTACTGCAAAGCAGGGCCAGGTGCCTTTAACCACTAGGCCATCACAATAAAGGTAATACTTTTTTCAACTTATTAATTCTCCAAATTTAACTTTTAATTAATAAATTTTTTAGCAATTCATCGATTGTTCAAACAAAAGTCAGTAACCTTTCCACGTCGTCTTCTGGCATTTCTCGCATTGAGTCTTCATACACATGATGCCAAAGATAAAAATTTTTTTGATTACGGTTGATTACTATGTAAATATTTTGATGAATTTTCAAGCAAAGATTTAAGCGAACAACTGCCTAACTCTAGTTTTTTAGACACAAATTTGATTGGGCTTACCTTTATAAGCTTTTAAATAGATACATGTAAATAGTACATACATGCGTGTATCTAATAGTACGCATGTATGTATTGTAACTTGTATGCATTCATACATGTATGAGTGCATGCATGTATGTATGTATACAATATATGATATGTATGTATGAACCAAGTGTAGCGTGCATTTTAGATCTATATTACAAATTTAACTGCGTTGCTAATGTGAGGTACAGTCGTGGATGAAATGTTGTGTCTGTCAATTTGTGGCAAACTTGTTTTTTTTTGGATGGCTTTCTAGCAACTTTGTTTATATGATTTCTGTAGTTATTTTATTTTATTTACTTGATAAATGCTTCGCGAGTTTTTGAGGAAGCACAGATGAGTTTTTAGAGATCGGGCTATATAATAACGAACTGATTGATTGATTGGTTGATTGATTGATTGGTTGGTTGATTGATTAATTTAAAAATCAAATTGAAATTTGGATGCCTTTTTGGAAATATGGTACACATCTTAGTACGGCATCGAGATATTTTTATTTCTACAGGTAAAGGCTATGATATATTTCTATTTATGAGCAAAAATAATGGCAGCTAAAACAACAACAATGATATTAATTATATAAAATAATAATAATAATTATTATTATGATCCATTAGGAATACTTATTATTCCCCTTAGTTACCAGCATGGATCGATCACCAATGATCTAGTTACCATTTTTCTACAGGTAACACCGAAAAAAAATCTCCACTGGCCGATCTGTTAATTATTCAACACTAATTTCATCGACGTTTTGGCTGTTTTTCGCTAATTTGATTAATTAGGAAAGTGTTTTTGGTGTAAAAAAATGCTTATTATGTACATACAATATAGTCTCTACAATATGATTATTTGATATTGAAAATTTTAAATTATCACCAAAAATGTAATTGACTTTAACAAGTAGAAAAATTAATTTAAAAATTTGGTTGTACATGTATACATTTTATTCAAAAGTCCAAGCTTTGAGTGGTTGTAGGCATACACAGAAGGAATTAATAATGTGAAGTTAAAAAATTAAGCGCTTCATAATTTAAAAACTTTTGAGTAAAAGTGACATGGCAACAGAATTAAGTTTACATTTCACAAGTGGTTTTTTGTTGTATGCGGATGCAGTTAGGGATTTGAAAAAATTTTTATTTAAAATTTTTTTTATTTTTATTATTTTTAATATATTTTTTAGAAATTAAATTTAAAAATTGCAGTTTATTATTTCTAATAATTAGACTCTAGAATCAATGGCTTAACAACTGAACAACAACAATGAATTATTAATTATTTTTTAATTTAATTGCAATTAAAATTTAATTATTAAATGGCGTTTTAGCCAAAAATTAAAATCATTAATTGTATAAAGTTGACATAAACCAGATCAGTATATAATAAATAAATGAATTTATAATATAAATATAATTTATATTATAATAATTAATAAATAAATTAGTCATAAAAAAATGAATAGCCAAAATTACATGAAAACACCACTTGTTGTTTGGGTGAGTTAGTTTTTTTAGTTCTTCCATAAAAAAATGAAATTACTATAAAATAAAATAATTTAACTTTATTTTATTTTATCTATTTTACTTTTTTTTACATAATTAAAATTACTATCTAAACAATGAAATTTTAAATGAGCATGTATTTATCAAATAAAAATTAAATAAAAAATTAATTAAATGATATTTATTTGAAATAATTTTCCCATTTTCATTTACAGATTCAGTCATTCAGTGTTGAGCCAATCACATACACCGACTTGATTGATGGATATTTCTTGAATGAAGTTTACTATCAAATGTATTTTTTGTGTTTTTATTTATTTTTTTTTTATTTTGTGAAATCTTATTGTAATTTTGATTTTAAGTTTTATTCATTAAGTTAGATTTATATATTCTTTTGCTGCCAAAAGCCCAAAGAATAATTTGATTCTTAATTTGTTCATTGGGCCCAACTAAAACCCAAAAATTTCATTTAATTTTATTTATCTTTCCCTAATGTATCTTTTTTTTTAATTTAATTTATCATTCCCTAATTTTAGTGACAAAAAGTGCATCAGCACCCACCAGGATGGATTAACATGTAGGATTGATTCAGAGTCAGACAGACTTCACAATTGGGAAGTACTGGTGAAGAATATTCGAATGTATTACCAGGTATGTGTGTGTGTGCTTGTGTGCGTGAGTGTGTGTGTCTGTGTTTGTGTGCGTGAGTGCTTTTCTGTAGTGTGTGCTTGCCAATTTAATAAACAAAAAATTCTTTATAGTATATTAAACTTCAATGTCAAGAGAACCAAAAAATTTATTTCTAGATCTTCAGATTTTTACAAGTTTAAACAAAACATTGTATATATGGCTCTGTGAGTTTATGTCTATGTATGTATGCCTGTATGTATTTTTTTTCGTTTTCGTTTCGTTTCGTTTCGTATGTATGCGTGTATGGGTTTATTTGTGTGTGTGCGTGCGTGCGTGCGCGTGTAAGCAAGCATCTTTATTAC